ACAATCAGGTAATAACAAGGTAGCTTAACATTTAAAGTTATGCCTAGGCGGTAAGGCACTCACGGAGGGTCGTCTCACTTAATTGCCAATATATTATTTACATGGTGCTCTTGGATACTTTCACATTCTTAACTTTCTGAGATTGTAACAACAAAACAGACATTATCTTTAGAAGAAGAAATTATTGCAATTGATTGATGATATCTTAACTTTCTAGGCTTTGGTGAGCACCTTGCTTGCTTTTAACAAGATTGTGATGGCATCTTTGGAAGAATTGCAATTGTTTCAAATTTCATGCTTTTATTTTGGTGTTTGGTGTGCATCCTTCATTTCAAGTTAAAGTTCCTATAAACTTGACAGAGTATTCACATTTATGGACTGTTTAAAATTTTTTAACTCCGTTCTGGCAAATGGAATGTTTATCTACTTAAGGCCAGTCATCAAGTCTGCAAGGTGAGACCAGGTAACAAGGTACTGCTTGTTATGGGCCCGCGAATAGGATCTCGTCACGGGTCGGTCCACGGGAAAATCTCCTGTTTTCCCTTGTTCCTCCCTGCTCTTGATGAACCTATCTTGGCGCCTTAATGGTGATTTGTCCAAGAGATCACCTAACTCTCCTTGCTCTCTTTCTTGACTGAAATTTTCGATGCCTTTTTTCAATATTCTCAGCTCCTTAAATAGGAGATTACAAGAGATAAGAGTCCTACTTTTAGGAAGACTCCTTGCTAATTAGGAAGACTCCCTACTAATCCATACTACTGAACTGATAAGATAAGAACATTGAATAGATAAGACTCCTACTAATCCCTGCTACTGAAAGCAGAAAAGGTAAGAATACTGAACAGATAAGATAGGATGAGAACACTAAATTGCTGCTGCTGAGAACACTAAATTACTGCTGCTGCTGCCGGCGCCCACCAGTTGGGCTATGTTTTTTTTTTTTGACAAATAAGACAATTTATTCGATGTGATTCATGTTGCTATGTACTGTGTTTTCAATTTTTTTTATTATTATTTTGTATAGAAAAATACTAATAAAAGCAAATAATAATGAATTTTGCATAATGCATGTAGAGGGGGGAAAAGGATGCATCCAAAGGGAGGTGGTTGGGGAACAAAGGGAGGTTTATAAGGTAATTGTTGATTAATTTTGATGGTTATTCTCTAGTCAATCCTGTCAGTTGGATGGTGTAGGTTTCCGTGAAAACCCTATTGGTGATGCTGATTGGCTTAAAAGACCAATTAAAAAGCAAAGGTGCAGGCCATTGCGGGTTTATCTGGGGATAAAGCACCTCGCCCAGATGGATATCCTGTCAAAGGTTGATTGAAGAATTCTATACCTATGGATCCATCTCTGACTATTCTAAGAGTACCTTTATTGCTTTAATTTGGAAATTGGGAGGTTGGAGCAAATCAAAGATGACAGACTCATCCATATCCATAGTATGTATTCTACAAGATGATTGCCAAAATTCTTGCTACAATTGAAGAGTGTTCTTCCTCATATCATTTCTGTGGCTTAAGG